CAGTTGAACACACATTGTGCTTAGATCCTTACTATAGACGTATGTTGGCGGATAAAATAGAATGTTATTTAGAATTTTCTGAAACAGTTATACTGGTTATTTGGTTATCATCTATTAATCACAAAACTGACTTATCTTTTTCTTTTTCTTTTTTTGCATTTTTTTTGCATGTGTGTATGCCCCTCCTGATGAATTTGAACTAGCTTCCTGCTCACTTTAGGATAGTCTGTTTTGCAAGTGTTTCACTTGTTAATATCGAAGTCGGGCACCAGCGTCTTGCGCCATATTCAGGGTCAGCATGTTTTGAGAATATGCCAAATAGTGTTTGCTATGCCGACATATGAACACGAGTATTCACCCCGTAGAAGCAGAAAGAGCAGCTAGGGAAATTGAAATCAATAAAATACCCAATCTTTAATTATCTAATAACAGCTTACGGCTTGTGTTGTTCTTTTTATTTGTCGTCCACATCCAGAGCTTGCGACCTTACGCGATCGTTTCCACCATTCAAGCAATGACAGATTCTTTCGAGATCTTACCCGACGCCCCCCATTACTTACATCACGAGTGCAAACTGCCGACTTTCTTGTGACAAAATCTTTATATCAACGAGACGCTCACTTTTCATGTTCGAGGTTATATGTTGACTTTTTCGAAAGAGGTTCTGCATTGACGAGTTGATACCGTACATGATATTCTATGCGCATATGTCGTCGATGGAAACGTGTCTTGGAATATGACCCGTATGATAAACGGTGCGATTAGTGAAGTTGTCACAGTGCATCAACACATCCATATCGCGATTGAGGACCTTTTCTCCGGTCGGTTTGTTAATTCAATATAGGACAGCCTAATGTCAAAAGGAACAGTAGACATTTAAATGACTATTCAACATTATTTCTTTCAAAACACGAGGTATTTAAACTATTTTATTATAGTATCTTTCTGTTCCATTGCTTAAGTCTGGTAAGAGAGAGTCTATTGATAATAGTACTTATTTCTCTCCCTTAATGCTAATCGCTTTTTCCAGTCTCTCAACCATTGCAATATTCATTGTTCAGCATCCTTCTCCGTATAATCTCTTGTATTATTTCCCTAAATTCTACACACTCTTTTAGAAATTTATCGTTTCTCCAAGCTCGCAAATTTCTTTTTTGGCTTGGGTTTCCAATTAAACAGTTTCTTGCAAGTGGGGCCAACTCCAAGTAAGGTACACCTTTAGCGTTCAGTCGTAGGTGTGTGTAGACAATAAAAGAACGCAAAACTCCAACTCCAAGTAAGATTTCCGATTATCCTAAGAGTTTTACTATTATCTTATTGCAGTTTAACATTTGCAGTCGGCTTCCGAACAATTATTTTTTTACTCGAACGTTTACATGTCTTTCGCATTTCAGGTGTTGGTTTATCAATTATTAGGACCTTTCTAATATTCAGATGCGATAGGAAATAGGAAATACATCTTGCTCAAACCTCTGTCCTATATATTGGTTATATAGTGCCTCACGGGTATGTTAATACGTAACAGCATTATTTGTTACTTATTCTATCGACTTTTCGGTATAAAATGGCTAATGACTACTTTTGTCTCTAATTATCAACAGAAAGGCCCACCTTTTTTCCTAACTACCCAAACCTATGCAGATTCGCGTGAATGTTCAAGACGTTCGAATTTAACGGCACTCTTGGGGATTTGCCTACGTTCACTTGCCGAAAACCTTTATTAATGTGATATTCTTTCCGGAGCAGACTACGACGGATCCATGAACACGAGAAACTAAATTCAGCTCAGTAATATAATTTAATCAAAATTTGTTTCTATTGACAATGAGGGAATAATATGTAAACAAATGTTGCTAGCATAATTAATTAATCTGACCTTCAGCTCTCCTGAACTAAACTGGCAGTTAGCTAGATGCCTCTTGTCAATACCATTTTATTGTGAAAAGAAGATGATAGTGCCCACATATTGTTGACAAGCATTTGTTGTAATAAACAACTTTCTCCAACCGGAATTATTCTCTGCCATCTGGTAACAAGTCTCGTACTGTCAAAAAAAAAACGCGACTTCAAAAATAAATAATACTGGTGATATAACCATCCTACTGTTACATACGGTCACCTGGGGGAGCGTAGCTAATTCTTGAAGGCTCTTTATATCCTTTATGGCTAAGGTATAAACGCTCACTTGTATGTTGTGCTAACTATTTAAATAAATTAATTTCGCATCGATAGGTGACCTGGCTGGGTGTTACTTTAACTTCCGTAAGCAGATATTTTCGGCGCGCCTTTTTAAGAGTTTCCTTACAACCGTTATAGTGAATGAGTCCGCTTAATAATTGTAGGGACCTCTCCAGTTAATTGCAATTGCCCTAATCTTGCATGTATACAGGAGGGGTGGAGAGTGATGACAAAGTATTTCATTGTCGTAAGTTATTTAATTCTATAAATCTTTTATATGAAATAAAAAAACTAACGCCTACTTCATCGGTTGTCTAAATGAAATATTAACTTTTATTTAATATAGCGTGTCATGATGAACAGAATAAAAAATTGGTAAGAAATCCAATTTTCTTGCTTCTGCGCATATGGAAGTATTGCACACTTTATTTTTTAAACCTAAACAAATTTGATTTATTAGTATTTCCTTCACTTGCAGCAATCACAGCTTGAATTTGGTTGGGCAGATAATAACAAGTTACGATATACGTTTCGTGGACGCTCTTCTTTTACTGAGAATATTTTACTGATTTATAGTACTATTTTTGCGATTGTTGTGTTTTTGTGTCTAACTAGTTTTTTTTTACCGAATGAGTTCTTTAGCGAGACTCATCTAGTGTCAAAACAAAAGATTGGGTTTCTTACTAATTTATCATTCTACCCATCATGACACGCTACATTAAATAAACGTTAACCATTTAGACAACTGATGAAATAAGGTCCAAAGTTGGTTTTTTATTTCAAATAAAAATTTATAATTACGACCGTGCAATACTAGCGCTAGATTTCCATTAATTTATTGACTTGTTGAGCCAAAAACTTTTCGTAATTAACTTTGTATGGACAAGAAGCAAAAAAGGACACCCGCGAAAGGCCTTAATTTTAACCTGGATATGCGTTGAGGGAAAGGGTTTGGAAAAAGATGCTCGCCATTTGTGACCAAACGCATTAGGTAATACGATAAATCTGCAGGTTTGTAAGAGTAATCCAGCAGAGCAAGCTGCAATTAAGAACTAGTATTCTTTTACCATTCAACAGCCTTTTGTTTATCCATCGATATTACAATTCCATTTTCGATTTTATTGACAGACAAGTACCCTGCCAGAAGTGAGTGATCACCACGAAATATTACTAGTAAAACATGTGGATTGTCTGACTTTTTTGCTCATGTGTACTATACGAAGGATAATATATATTTTTTGAAGCTAATTTATTGTGCTTTTCGAATTAACAATAAATTTATCGCTATAAAGCTGTAGCAAGTTGAAGTTTCTGTCTTTAAATTACGATATGAAAATCTGTAATTATATATGTATAGCACGTATACTCACACTTCGTCGAGCTACTGAGTTATATAATTGTTGTTCATTTTTCGAAAAGCGCAATAAATTAGTATACAAAAAAAATATATTATTCTTCGTATAGTACACATGAGCAAAAGAGATTTTTGAAAAGTCAGACATTCCACATGTTTTACTAGTAATATTTTGTGGGTATACATATTATATTTCGTATAATTAACTTGTTCGCGTACTGCTTAATTTTGTACTGTGTACCAAATAAATGCACTTTACGCGGACTAAGACAATAGATCTTACTTACGGAATGGGGTACATGAACGTTTGTGCTCAATCATAACTGTATGAGCAGTAGCGTCAACGCTACCTTTACCTCTTGTTATAAAATGCTTATCTACCAATTTTCTCTGTTTTTTGTTTCTAATTTAGCCTTAACTAACTAGATGTTCTTTGTATTTTTTTTTTTCTTCAACAAATCATTTGCTTCAACTTCCTTGCGAGCGTTATCTGTAAGCCGTTCTGAAAACGTTGACATAAATCCGTTCTTGGGCTCATAATTTGGATATAGTTGGTGCTATAACTTGCGGAACGTATCATATTCAACGCGCTATCGTTTTCGAGACCTGCAATAAAATCCCGATAGACCGACTTGTAACTCGTTTCGGCTGGCAAGAGTGTAAGCGATTAAATAATTCGGTCGATGATGTTTCTACTGGGCTTGGTAATCCATAAATTTCAGCATAATCTTTTATCGCGGCATTCGTTTATGTTACCATGAACGCGTTGTATTATACTATTCGTTGCCAGATGTTTTCTAAACGAGTGCGACTAATTCCAACAAAGCGACGTATTGCAATCTCAACAATAAAAGCTCTCTTATTAACACGCGTTTTCTTTTAAGATGTCGGCTGGCAGTTATTTCTCCAGCATCTATTGCTTAGCTGGACTATTAAAAATATATTTTGCTCAAATTTAGAGACTCACGTAATTCGGCGTTTTTCTTTTTTGAGCAACCACAATTGCAACCTGTCTCCAAGAACGTATTGTTTTTCCATATTCAGTAGAACCATTGTGATTATTATTTCATATACGGATAATCCTATAGATAAATTTTACGCTTCAGTAATTTATTTGTTTTATTTTTAAAAACGAAAAGAAAATCGGCAACTACAAAAATTGGCCAATTTTAGGTCGATTTGAGCAATGTAAAATGTAAAAAGAATGTTTATTTTGAACCGCTTGTTTATGAGTATTTTTTACTAATACTATTTTTAAATTCCTTTAACATTCCCGAAACTTCTTCAAGAAACATTAATTAGAACAATGACTTCCATAAGATTGGGGAGTTGCGAGTGTCATAAAAGTCGAATTCAGCCTTTTACAGTATAACTGGCAGTTACTTAAAAGAGCCAGTTGGAATTGTTGAACACTGTCTTGATCGCGTACAGTTCCGGATTTTTTCTGATAAACGGAGCTGTTAGCGTTTTAATGTTGCTTATAATTCTTTTCTTCAGCACTGGTTGTGCAAAAATGCGGGCGTGGTGCACTCCGAAATAAGTTTCCGGACGGAACTTGTACATGATACGCTCCGAAATAAGTTTCCAGACGGAGCTTGTACATGGTGCGCTTCGAAATAAGTTTCCAGACGGAACTTGTGCATGGTGCACTTCGAAATAGGTTTCCAGACGGAACTTGTGCATGGTGCGTCCGAAATAAGTTTCCAGACGGAACCTGTACATGGTGCACTTCGAAATAGGTTTCCAGACGGAACTTGTGCATGGTGCGCTTCGAAATAGGTTTCCAAACGGAATCTGTACATGGTGTG